TTTTCTCTTGAGTGGTATGTGTTCCTTTTGGGTGTTAACTCCTTATCAGATATATGGTTTGCAAATATTTTCTCCCATTCTATAGATCTGTTGATTTTGTTTTCTTTTGCTGTACATAAGCTTTTTAGTATGATGTAGTTTCTTTCACTAGACTATTTTTGCCTTTGTGGCTTGTGTTTTTGGTGTCATATCCAAAAAATCAATGCCAAGAAGTTTTTTGTCCATTTCGAGTTGGGTTTTGTGTATGGTATAAGATAAGGGTACAATTTCATCTTTTGCATGCGGGTATTCAATTTTTCCAATACCATTTGTTGAAGAGACTGTCCTTTCCCCCATGTGTGTTCTTGGGTTTATTTCTGGGTTTTTTGTTCCGTTGGCCATATGTCTGCTTTTATACTAGTAATTATTTACTTCCTTTGTTTTTTTTCCTGCTATTTTTCTAAGTTGAAATTCAAACTTTATGAACATTTTTCTAGAGCAAAGTGGTCTTTTTTTTTTAACTTCGATATTTTTTAATATTATTTTTTTGAGAGAGAGAGAGAGAGAGAGAGAGAGAGAAAGAGACAGAGCATGAGCAGGGGAGGGGCAAAGAGAGAGGGAGACACAGAATCTGAGCAGGCTCCAGGCTCTGAGCTGTCACCACAGAGCCCGACGTGGGGCTTGAACCCATGAACAGTGAGATCATGACTTGAGCCGAAGTCAGACACTCAACCGACTGGGCCACCCAGGAGCCCCATCACAGTAGTCTTTTTTTTTAAGTGTGTGGTGGTAGTTTTTAAAATTTGCCTGAAAGCCCATTTTATCTGATTTAAATCTAGGAATACCAGCTCTCTTTTTCATCTTTTGGTTAATATTCTCGTGAGACATCTTTGTCAACCTTTTTACTTTCAATCTCTCTGAATTTTAAGTGTTTTAAGTATGTTCTTTTCTAAGGAGCATGCACCTATTTTCTTTTCTTTAATCCAGTCTAACAAACTTCAGCCCTGTTTGAGTATATGAGAGTTTCAGTTACTCTACTTTCTTACCAACACTTAACATTGGCAGTCTTTTTTAATTTTAACCATGCTATCAGGTATGCAGTGATATGTCATTGTGGTTTTATTTTGTATCTGTTAAATCCTTGAAAACCATTGCTGCTGGGGCGCCTGGGTGGCGTAGTCGGTTAAGCGTCCGACTTCAGCCAGGTCACGATCTCGCGGTCCGTGAGTTTGAGCCCCGCGTCAGGCTCTGGGCTGATGGCTCAGAGCCTGGAGCCTGTTTCCGATTCTGTGTCTCCCTCTCTCTCTGCCCCTCCCCCGTTCATGCTCTGTCTCTCTCTGTCCCAAAAAAAATAAATAAAAACGTTGAAAAAAAAATTAAAAAAAAAAAAAAGAAAACCATTGCTGCTTATATTTTGTCCACTTTTCTAGGCGTTGATGATAGAAAGGTAAACCCAGCCTTTACCACTTGCTAAGTAGCATTCCTCACCTTGTAATTTTCAAAGTTAATTTCTTAACATATACCTAAGGCATTTGAAGAGTTTTTCTTTTAAAAATAAACTTATAGGGGTGTCTGGGTGGCTCAGTCGATTAAGTATCCAACTCTTGATCTCAGCTCAGGTCATGATCTCATGGTTGGTAATTTCAAGCCCTGCATTGGGCTACATTCTGGCAGTATGGAGCCTGCTTGGGATTCTCTCTCTCCCTCTCTCTCTGCCCTTTGTCCCTCCGCCCACCTCTCTCTCTCTAAATAAATAAACATAAACAAACAAACTTATATAGTTTGTTTTGCTGTTTTTGGAAGGAAGGTCTGTTGAGATTTCTTGTTCACCATACTGCCAGAAATGAGTGTTTACTATGTGGTATAAGTTAGAGAACTAAATTTTTTTAATTTAGTTAGTCCCTATTTTCACCATCATGTATTAAATTACTCATTCTTGCTCACTGTCTTAGTCTTAGTTCACAAAAAGTAAAGCATGAGACAAAGACTTGAATTTAGTTGGTTTACTTGGGAAATAATCCCAGGGTGCAGGAGTGAAGAACAGATTTAATTGTATATAAATTACATTTAGGCTTCAGTACTTTACTTCCTTTTACTATAACTAATTTCATCTTGAGATACAAATTTTTACTTTGATTCTTTTTTGTTTGTTTGTTTCGTACATCTTTGAGTTATCTTCTTTTCATGGAAATTTCATGAGTAATATGCTTTCTGAAGCCTTGCATTTGAGAATATGGCTTTCTGTTATTATTGCCCATAATGACAACTTTGTTGGGTAAATATTCGCGTGGTCATTTTTTTTTTTTTCCTTCAAAATTCTGTAGACATTGCTCCTGGTCTCTGACATCTATTGTTGCAGAAAAGGAATCTCTGTATAGCCTGATACTTACTTTGGAGGTATCCAGTTTTTCTTTTCTTGACTAGATAATTATAGTGTTCTGTCTTTGGCATTGATAGTTAGAAAATAGATATAGATACAGATATCTAGATATCTATATGTCACCAGTATTTTGGATTTTATTTCATCAGTTTTTCTTGGTACAGAGTGAGCACTGCACAATTCAAGATTTTTCATTCCAGGAAAGATTTAATCTGACAGATGTTGGGATTTTTATCTCTGTTGAATTTACTCCTGTCTTTTGGGCAGTAGCACCACTTACATGTATGTTAGATATCCTTTGTCCTTCATACGTTTCTTCTTAATCATTTTTATATCTTTGCCATCTTCCCCCCACATTTCAGGATGAGTTCCCCTTCACTGATCTTTATTTTTATTTATTTATTTATTTATTTTTTACAGATCTCATTCTGTGTCCCTTTAATGCTTCCAGTGGCATTTCAAAAGTAATACGGCAAATATTTTCCTCACTGCCTTTCTATAGGCTTTCCAGCTCTTTTCATTAAAAAAAAAAAAGTCAGTTTTATCATTGTATCTCTTGTCTCTTTTGTAGATTTAATATTTCATTGATTGTATTAAGTACATGAAGTTGAGGTCGACAGTTGATTCTTTTTCTTCAGTAAATAGTTCTTAAGTATGCAGTCCCTGTACCTCTACAGTGATATGTTCATCTCCTTTTATGTTGTGAAATATTTTCATATTTAGGTGTATTTTATTATGTTCCATGTCCATAATATTTTATTACTGAGTGTAAATTAGGTGGGTTTTGCTAATAATTGCCTATATTAATTATCTTTGTGTTCCACCTTTCATGCCATTAGAATCATTTCAAATGTAAAAGCAGGAGGACTCATTTAGAAAAGATATGTAGAACCAGTTCAGTGATCTAATAGCCAGTGGATAAGGAAGAGTGGTCCAATGCAGTGGGCTCTCCTCATAAGGGAAAATAGTGTCTAGATGGTTTCTTTGTATCTGACGGAGCCATTGATCGGGAGCCAATTTTATGGTCCTTTTGCAGTCAGCTGGATTCTGTTCCAGGTATGCAAGTGACTATGGCCATTTTCTGTCCTGGTGCTTTTGTACCCTGTATTAGGATGGATCCTCCTGTGTGCAGCCTTTTTGTCTACTGTGCTAGAGATGCCCTTGGACTTCCTGGCGTGGGTGACTCCTAATCTTTTATTTATTTGTTTATTTATTTTAATATTAGAAGAGAAAGCACATGCATGAGGGGCAGAGGGAGAGAGAGAGAATCTTAAGCAGGCTCCATGCTCAATATGGGGCCTGACGCAGGACTGGATCCCACAGACCTGGATCATGACCTGAGCCAAAATCAAGAGTCAGATGCTCAACTGACTGAGCCACCCAGGTGCCTGGGGTGACTCCTAATCCTCTTGACGCACAGTAGTCAAAGAGGTTCTCGCCCGAAGGCTTCCTTTCTGTTCTGTCCTGCCCTGATTTCCAAATTATGAATGTTTGTGAAAGTCTGTTAGCAGATCTCTTATTTATTTCTTGGCACCCATACTATTTTCTCAGGAAAGGAGTTTTTAGTCAGCTCTAGCTTCTCCCTTTAAAATGTCAGGGGTGTTCCATACCTGTGCTTATTAGTTGCCCTCTCGCCTAAATAAGCAGTTTTAAAGAGGTTAAATACATGATACAGTAAAGGAGTTGAGAGCAATCACATGGAGAGATATAGAGAAGAAACTAATGTTGACAATGCACTGTATTCTAGCCACTGTCTAAGCAAACTCCCACCACTGACACTTAGCCCCTGCCTGCATTACTTTCTTTAGAGCATATATCACCATCTGTCATAATTATATTCTAAATATTTGTTTATCATCTTCCACTCCCATTAAAATAGAAGCTCCACAAGGGCAGACACTTTTGTCTTTTGTATTCATTACTGTACCCAAGTATCTAGAACATGGCATGACAAAAAGCAGTTGTTGAGTGTATGTCCTGTTTTTTTTTGTGGTTTTTTTTTTTTTGGATGTTTATTTATTTTTGAGAGATTGAGCAGGAGAGGGGCTGAGAGAGGAGGGGACAGAGGATCTGAGGCAGGCTCTGTGCTGACAGCAGAGAGCCCAACACAGGACTTGAACTCACAAAACATGAGATCATAACCTGAGCCGAAGTCAGATCCTCAACCAACTGAGCCACCCAGGCACCCCAAATATATGTCCTTTATTTAAAGGAAAATGGGGGGTGCCTGGGTGGCTCAGTCGGTTGAGTGTCCGACTTTGGCTAAAGTCATGAGTTTGAACCCCACATCAGGCTCTGTGCTGACTGACAGCTTGGAGCCTGGAGCCTGCTTCGGATTCTGTGTCTCCCTCTCTCTCTGCCTCTCCCCTGCTTCTCTCTCTCTCTCTCTCTCTCTGTCTCTCAAAAATAAACATTAAAAAAACTAAAGGAAAATGAAGAAAATGAAAGACTCGGGAAGGCCTTTACCAGATATTTTTTTAATATTTATTTATTTTGAGAGAGAGAGAGTGTGCATGCACATGTGGGAGGGGCAGAGAGAAGAGAGAGAGAATCCCAAGCAGGTTCTGCACTGTCAGCACAGAGCCTGACAAGGGGCTCAATCCCATGAACCATGACGTCATGACGTGAGTCAAGACCAAGAGTCAGCCACTTAACAGACTGAGCCACCCGGGGGCCCTAACACATCTTTTCGAAAGAGATCAGACAGATGTCAGAGGTACTTAATTTGTTTGTTTTCTCATTCTAGCACTTTATTGGAAATTGGCTGTGTACATAAATGAAATCAGACCAAAGTAAAAGCATTACTTGCACACAATATTCTGATGTCTGTGCTGTTACATAATTTAGTAAGTCCCAAGATGTTTCTGATTTTGGTCAAAAGCTTGAGCAGTCCAGAAATCTCTCTCTATAAATATAGATCATAGCATCTAAACAACCATCATTGTTTTAAGTTAGTTCCGAAACCCCCTGGAACATCTCTTAAAATCTGTAGCTTAGATTGGCTGCAGTGCTGGTGGGAGGGAATGAAGGGCGTGCACTTTATACCACAGAGCTGATATAGCAGGTACTGGGGTGGGGGGACAGAGCTCCTCAAGTGTGGGGCACACAAGGGGGTGGGGGCTGGAGATCGTGAAAGCTGGCCAGGGAACTCAGCCACCGTGTGTTTTCCCACATTGCTCAACTATCAAAGCGATGAGACTCCAATGCAGAAAGAAGCCCATCACCCCAGGTCTCTTGCGTGGCCAAGAAATGGCAGAGCCCTCCTCCTGATTGTAGACATTCTGGCACAGAAGTCCTGGGAAGTTCTACCCATCTCCCTCCCCTGCCATGGGTAATTCCCTCCAAATTACATAACGTGAGGGAGGGGCACCACAAAGAAAATAACTCTGAGCCCAAGTGCTGCCGGCCCCTTGGAATGAGGATAGGGTGCCTTTGCTTGGTTTGACCGCAGGGGCGCTGGCAAAGGCTGCTCTGCCCCCAGTGTCTCCCTCACCACCTTGAAGTCCACCATCAGTAATTAGGTTGTTTGGCTCTTCAAAGCTTCTCAGCATTCAGCAGTAACACCTGTGTATCTGCGGTGGGTTTGCTGCTCACAGTCGCAAACAGCTTTAACCTCCACCAAACCATTGGTTCTTACAACCCCATGAGGCAGGAGAGGCAGAGATCATGATCCCCATTTAAAAGGAACCCGGAACCCACAGAATTAGGTCCCTTGACTGAACTCACACAGCCGGCCAGTGGCAAAATCCAAACAAGAGCTCAGATCTCCTCTCACGTGTCAAGCTCCCGAGTCCACACGGCAAAGCCCGTCCGTCGCTTTTCTGAGAAGGAAGAGGCTGGGGGAGGGGACACCACCCACATCCCTCACTGCCCCTCTTGGGAGATTCTCAGTCCCATTGAGGACAGAATAAGTTTGCATGTGACAGATAATGATCGCAGTGACCAGGCACAGCAATAAGGAGGTCATGATGACCATGATGGCCAGGATGATGAGGACAATGACCCAGATAGCCAGGATGTGCTTGGGGAGCACAGCCTCCATGGGGACCTGGCTGACGGCATCCATGCTACTTCACTCTGAAATGCGTCCTCCAGAATCCTTTCCTGCTGTAGTCTACACACGTGAAAGTCTAGCCGATGCGTTTGGGCTGAGGGGCCGGCACTCAGAGCTCTGCTTTGCGGTGTACGTAGTTTAAGATCCATAACAAGCGGCTTCACCAAGTGAGGGTAATAACACCTGTCCAGAGGTACTTGATTTGCAATAGCTAATGTTTGTTCGTAAAGCAAGATGTAAACAACTTAGATTTGGTTTACTTGATGGCTAGTTTAAGAGACTCAAGGGTGCTCGAGTCCAACATGAGTATAAATTTACAGTGACTTATCAGGAAGTCATGATTATTTTGGCAACTTATAAAAATTCATTTCACAGCCTTTCCTTGATAGCATTTTGCAAAAATTTCTTCCATAATTTCTTCCAAAAAATTCTGTACTTACCTGATTTTTAACTCCTTTCTCAAAAGTGAAAATAAGAATAAAAGAGGAAAGAGAGAAACTCAATTCGGGTATCACTCTCGCTTATAATATTTTGCCTGAGATATAAGAGTTATTGGTTATATATCTATTTCATTTAAAGAAAGCTGAGAGTTGGGTTTGGGTTATTTCTTGGACAAGCTAGAATATAGTACTTGATTTCTAACTATTAACAACTAACGTTTAAACATTTTAATGTTAGAAACTGAAAAAAAAAAAAAGAAAAATCCACACTGTTCCCTTCTTCTAATTTTAACTATTTTCAAAGGCATATGAGGTTATTTTTTTCTTGATCTTTCCATGCATTATAAAGAGTAGCATTTATCCTGCATTGAGCTGAAATGATTACACAATTCCTTTAAAATGAAAATGTTGACGGTGGAAACCAAATTTAAAAAGAATGGAAAGAGATACATGTAAATCACCAGACACTTGGAAGAGCACAGGCAAATCTAAGAACTACGTGCTTTTTATAATCTTACATTTTCCCCCCTAAAAATCACTTTCCAAACGGTTGACAGTTTGGCAGCTCCTAGGATGACATCAACTCTTCTGTTGTGCAGTAAACTGCTTTCTTTTAGATAACTTGATGGCACTTCATCAAGTTTGGTGATTGTGTTGAATTAAAAACCAACTGGGGTTGAGTTTAAATTCCCCTAACTGATAAACCAAACACATTCCTGACCTTAGGCCTGCTTTTGAGCACTCAGACTTACCTTGTCTGTAGGCTGCTTGACTTCTAGAAGAGAAGTAAGCGGGTGAGAGAAAACACACGTTTTAAAGTCAATAATCAGTCAAAATAATCTGCCCAAATGCACTACATTATCAGTGCATTTCTCCAACCATTCAGATGCTTTCAGACCAATCATCCTCTTCTCTATCTTAACTTGACCCCAAATCAAGAGGATAATGACCCTGGCACTGTTTTCCACTTCAGAAAATCAAGGATGGTTACTTGAGCTATAGTCTCTCTCAGCAGTCAGGGGCAGATTCTCACCACCAGGAAGGTGGTGAGGAAAAGAAAATTCTAGAAATTAGCCTGTTAATGGGGAAGAAAAAAAGCGGTCTGTGAACAGGGCTAACAGCTTTGCTGAATCTTCTAGGAACTTGCCTCTGATCACCAGGTGAAAATACTTGCATTGTAAAGTTCTGTCCCATCACCTCACTCTAAACCAGAGCTTCTAGACTTGACTAACTCTAGGGAACACCTAATTCAGCATTTCTGGCAAATTCCCAGGTGGTGCCAGTGCTGCTGGCTCTCTGACCACACTTCACTTGGAGCAGCCAGCCCCCTATCAAGAAAGCGCTTTTACCCAATTTGGAGTCCAAGATTTATAATTGAAAATATTTGTATGAAGATGTAATTTAATACTAAGTAAATATTTTGTGAGATATGCAGTTGAAGACAGAGATAGAAGACGTTAACTTTCAGAACTGTTTTATAATTGCTAATGTATTAATTATATAATCAATTATGTAATTAATGTATTACTTGTCATTAAAACTTTGTCATTTCCCCTGGAGCTCCTATTTAGACTAGCTGGATACCATTTTACATGATCTTTCTCATCATCTAAATACCAAATTGTTTTCTGATTCTAAAGTAATCTGGTGTTTGATGAAAAAAATTCACAATATGTTCAGTCCAGCAAGGCATGGAGATTTTAGACCTCAGCTCAGTAGCTCAGTTCCCTTTTCCTTTTGTTCCTGATTTTCTCATTCTATCAACATTCAGGAAGAAAATCTGAACTTCCAAAAAATGGCAGTGAACTTAACATCTACCCCTCCCCTCACCTCCCGCCCAGGAAGTGGTTACCAAATCAGTAATAAGGTACTATTTCTACCTAAAGATGAGGTAGACTCTGAGACTCCAAGTTGGATTGAGTTCTGACACCTTTCAAGTACTTCTCAGATCTTGCAGAATATTGGGAATGGGTGTAGACAAACTAACAAGCTCCCAGAGAGAATAAGTAGATGAGCAAGGTGACTAAGGTTCTACTTCTGTGAAGAAGAAGGAGTCTTCCCCACGCTCATGCCCATGTAAATGGCAGAGAGGTTACTCTGGCATGGGTGTTGACATCCATGCATCCGTCTGGCTGGGCAAAGCAGTAGCTGTGACACCTGTTGGTCAGTCACTGTATCTGAGAGACACAGAGCACCCTCACCTGCCATTCTTATGTGAGCTCACCTGGCATCCTGACTCAACAAGCTTGTTTTCTCTCCTCACCTTTCAAACATAAAGGCGTAAACATGACTATAATGTCAGAGAATCTGAAAACTGAATCGCATGCACGAAGACAATGGGACAATCTGATGTTCCTAAAGTACTTCAAAGAAGATCTATTCCTTCTTTTTCCTCATGAGTTGGGGCCTTTTTTTTAGAACATCCTCAAAGGACTCAGTGCAGTCTTTCTTTAAAGCATTTAGAGATCACAAACAAAACATCATATGTAATAGAAAAAAACCAAAGAACATAACATTTTATATTCAGTATCATCTCAATTATAAATTATAGGCATATTAAGCACAGGATTAGAATCATCCATTCTAATGGTCCATTACCTTTGGAGAATGAGATTATGGATGATTTCTTACTTTCTTTTTAGTTCTGTTCAGCATAGGCCAGATTTTCTATAAGCTTGAATTACTTTTGCAATTAAAAATAGAAGAAAGAGGAAAAGAAGAAAAGAAAAGGGAAATAAAGCAACAGTATGATCAGGCTGGAAGTCTCTGAGCCTATACCCCTCCCACCAGTCTCTGTCCAGGGACTTAGGTCTGTAGTTAATTGTTTGATGTTTTTATGTGGTGTAGATCTGTCTACTGCCACAGTGACAGAAATAAATTAGAGTGTCTCGGTAAAGACCAAACTCATCAATTTTTCCCAAATCTGTATTTGATTAATTCTGCAAAGGTCCAGGTCAAAGTTATTCCTCAAACCTTATTATTTCAATAAAGAAGCCCAAAGTTTCCAGGTTTGTCAGGAAATTCATTATCACCGTAAAATAGCAAAAGGTCACAAAATGTCTCCTTCCACAATCAAATAGCATATAAGAAAAATTTCTTTTTCTCAACAATTCATTACCCCAGCAGAACCAAGAGAAACTTCTGACA